ATTCTTTATCAAATTCAGTCAATTCTTTACAAGACCTCGATGATGATATTTTGTCAGACGAAGATAGCTTCACTAGTAATAGAATAATTTTGCTATAAAACCAAATAATGTTCGAAAAAAGTGAAGAAAATACAATCAGTTTTGTATGACTAATGACAATACTATTATCATTCTAGATGAAGAATATGAATAATAAGTTGATTCCTCTGGTGATGACAAAGAATTTCGGTTGGTTGATGAGGAATCTTCTTTGGATGAACTATTGTTAAATGATAATGAATCATTTGCGACACCTAAATATGTAGAAGAATCAGATATGAAAAATACATCTACAAACATAAATATGAATGATTTTTGGATTCTTTTATGGATCTTTAAATATCAAAAAAGATTCAGGCTTCCAGATATTGCAGTTAATTTATTAATCAAATTCTTCAGGGTAGTACTATTCAATGCTAATGAAAAATGATTCAAAAAATTTCCTGCAAGTGCTTATATGACAAGGAAGTTATTAGATATAAAAAGGAAATCAAAAACATATGTTGTCTGTCCTGAATGCAATAAAATATATTCTATTACAACAAATCAGATGAATTCAGAATGTAAATGCTCTCATGTAGAATTCCTGAATCATCCAATGTGAAATCAACGGGAAGCTTGTGAGGTAGAATTACTTATGAAAATTCTAGTAATAAATGGATACATATAGTGTCTTAAAATAATATATCCATTGTCTTGTCTAAGGACTCAAATAATTATAATGTATCAAAGGCCAGGCTTTGAAGAACTTTTAAAGAAATAGGTAACTCAGGATAATGAAATCAGCTTACTTTCTGATATCTATGATGGTGAAATATGGCAAAAATTCCCATCACACATGGATAATATAAATCAAGAATGATTTTTCACACTTGCAACAGCTGATTCTCATTTAGGATTAATGATAAATCTCGATTGGTTCCAACCATTCGAGTTATCTTTGTATAGTAATGGTGTAATATATAGTATTATATGTAATCTACCATGGGATATTTGCTTTAAAAAAGAAAATATTTTAACTCTTGGCTTATTACCAGGACCGAATGAGATCAAATTATATCAGATAAATCATTATTTTGTCCTGATCATAGATGAATTGCTAGAATTTTGGAATGGTGTAGATTTACTAGCTACTAACCAGTATCCTATTGGTAGAAGAATCAGATTAGCAGTAATCTGTTGCAGTAATGATATTCCAGCTGCACAAAAATTATGTAAACATATTTCCGCTTTAGTGGATTATAACAGGTATTACAAATATGCAGATAGTATTGATAGAGAAAGAGCTAATTTTGGGGGTTTTGATAATATATCTGAATGGTTTAAAATGCGGGATCCAAAAGAGCATCATCGTAATGCTACTATTTGGAAATCTAAAAAAACAAAAGAAGATAAAAAACAACATGTTAAAACAACTCATGTTAGATGGTCCGAAATGCTTAGATTACCCTATCATGATCCAATTAGGCATCTAGTTGTAGATCCTATGTATTGCTTGTTTTTGGGTATCGTTCATTGGATAGTAAAGAGGTTATGGATAGATGGTGGAAAACTAACAAAACAAGATCTAGAACTAATAGAAAAATGGTCAAAAATGATTAAAGTACCAGCAGATCTTGAAAGGATTCCATGCAAAATTGCAACTGAAGAAGGTTTTTCCAGTTTTACTACAGATCAATGGAGGATATTCATTATAGTTTACACTTCTCCGTTGCTTTAGAAACTTTTGGATGAAAAAGATCAGAAAATCTTGGCCAATTTTGTAAGAGCTTGCTTCTTATTAGTATCAAGAATTATCAATGAACATGTACTAGAAGAAGCCCATATCTGATTATTGATAGTTGCTCATTTAATCGAAGACAATTATGGCCCGACAATGATAACACCAAATGTTCATTTATCTCTTCATATTATAAAATGTTATTGAGATTATGATCCTTTATATTCCTTCTAGTGTTACTTTTTTGAACACATGAATGGAATTTTAGGGTCCTTTTCCAACAGTCATTGTAAAATAAAGCCTGAATTATCACGATGTGACGGGTAAAATTTTAGATAGATTTAATTGGTAGAATATTAAGTCCATTTTATTGCCATGTAGATCTTCTATGA